CCTTGGCCTGGTGGAAGATGCACAGGATTAACTTTCCACAACTGTGCAACATGGCCCGCAAGTATCTTTGTGTCCCAGCCACAAGTGCTCCTTCAGAGCGTCTTTTCAGTGCTGGAGGGAATATAGTGACTTGCACTCGCTACTCTTTGAAACCAGCAAAAGTTGGCATGCTGATTTTCCTGGCAAAAAATCTGTGAGCTTCTAAAAAAAAATACAGAGACAAATCTTTGTGGCTTACAGTGCCATATGTTTTTTGCACTTTACAATAGTTGTTTGCTGCTCTTACTGAGTGAATATATAATTTATATGATTGTTCAAAACGTTTCTTAGGATTTAAAAAGGTCATACACTAATTTATTTTCTGTTTATTTGAGAGTTTGATTGACCTATTAAAATGTTTACAGGTTGAAAGAAGTAATTCATTCGGTATACTATGCTGCACTTTAGTATGTTTGATGCCACTGACTGGAGATCAGTGATTTATTTCGTTTCTTATTTTGTTTATTTATTTTTAGACTGTCCTGTTAAAATCTGACAATGTTTAAGGAGTGGAGTCTATATGTTTATATATCGCGTTTCATGAAACATGAGAAGATGTTAATAAGGTAAACGCACACAGATTTGTTTCGTTTATTATTGTAATCTGTGCTTTAAATAAATCTGATTATTATGAAACAGATTTGTTTGTATATGTTTAAAAAGACATGAGAAATTAAACCAGGATAGAAAAATCGCATTAAATCGCAATATCAAAGTAAAAAATCGCAATTAGATTATTTTCCAAAATCGTTCAGCCCTACTCTAAATGAGGTAAGACATCAATGATCAGCCTCTGTCTGCAACTTCAATCTTGTCAAATGTTACAAAAGATCGTGTGGGGGAGCCAGAAAAAGTGTCCGTGTCGGCGCCATTAAGCTACATGATAAACAAATGGTAAGAATCTACATCAAATCCTGTAAATTATGCAGGAAGGTTTCATTTATTGATTCATTTCCTAACTTTTACATTCGCACGCAGAGCGACTCTAAATTCTGAGCCGACGCAGGATATTAGATTCTTTCAGCTTCCGTGGGGCATAACTTCTCAGACAAAGACGTTCGAATGTGGATGAGGGGCTATCACACCCACACAGGAGACAGGGAGCCTCCAAAGCCTGCCAGAGCAGAAGCCAAAAAAAAAATCCCTGGGAAGAGTTAACATGGCGCTTTTTTTACTAGACAGCCAGATGGGATGAATTAATCCGTCATCTTAGCGCAACATTAAATCCTCCAGTGATTTTGTGTAAGTGTGTGTTTGGGAGACTCTGGTCCCACCACGTCTCTCCATCTTGGGGGAACTTGACTGTAAATCTCACATTCTTTTAGTCTCATGTGGCCAAATATAAAAGACACTTCCACAAACTTTGCCCCCAAAAAGCTCTGTCATCCACTCATCCATTCATCTGCACACCAGGCTCCCCTACAGTCGTCTGGGTACCATCGCCCCACCTTCCCCTTTGTGTCCAAAACCCTCGTTTAAAAAAAAAAGATTCCTGCAGACATTCTTCTGCGTTTCCCCAGTGCAGCTATTTGGCACCGAACACGGTTTCCCAGAACCTACATCTGCAGTTATACCGATCGGCAAAGAGTGGTCATGGGAAATGTGATGCATCTGGTCTAAGGAGACGCCACTCGGTGAAAGCCGTGTTGACAGAGACTTTTAGAAACACACTCCACATAGTTTTACTTAAACTCCCAAATCTGATTTTAATAATCCTACAGCTGCAGTCGTGCTACTGCAACACTGATAATAAAATGTGCCAAAGACTTTAAAGACATTTCCTCTTTTTTTATACTTATGAAAAAAAGCCATACATTTTTCTTTATCTAGCACGAATGCATGACTCAGAATGAGACATGGTCTGGTGGGAACCTCCAAATTGGAACAACTAAATGTGTGGGCTGTGTGGGATAGAGCATGCAAAACTGTGTACTTCTACACGCATTTAGCATATTATAACCTACACTTTTTATGGCTGTTCTTGAGTGCTGTATTGTCCCTAATGTCTGCCATGCCAGGAAGATATCTACAAGTTTAATCGTGACAGTCAAGTGCACTGCAACTTCTTCCTCTTTGCACACCAACACAAGGGGAGGTGGGGGTGATGGGTGCTGTGAATTGCAATCGTGACATTCCAGCTGGAAATTCCTCCCGGAAGGAGGAAACTGTGAGGGCTTTATCTGCAACGCGGCGCTACGTTATCCATCACCCATCCAGCCACAGGCACCTTTTTTCCATCGCTAAAATAAAACGGCATGTTTTCTTATATCTGAGTCATCCAAAGTGTCCAGAATTATCATAACTCTGAACATTCACCCCAAACTTTGATGGATCATGAGGTCAATGTTTAAAGGTGCTTCAACTTTTTATAGAGCAAAACCAGACGGTTCAGGTTTATTCCGATGCAGCCAAAACTGAATTAACTGTAACAAACTAATAACAAGAGCATCATCCTTATCACCTTACAAGCATTTCTCCCTCTATTATCAAGCTGGAAAAGGAGAGCATTGATCAGATGCACCGATCCAGTTTTTTCCAGTCCAATCCGATACTGATATATGCCAATATCTGGTGCTGACCCAATTCAACTGTTGGATGAATGAACAATTATATCTTACCACGCGAGTGAAGGCTTCAGCATTGATAAAAATATTATAGAAAGTAAAAAAAAATGAGTGCAGATATAAATGTACTTTATATTATTTAAAGGTGCCGATGCGGTTTCTTTAAAGTTGAACAATCTGCTCCAGTAGAACAAATAATGCTCGCTGTGCTGCAAGTAGAGACGGGAAAATATAAAGCTTGAATTTTCCTCTCCATCCTATGTCAGCCAGCGGCTCCATCACTTTTACACAAAAATGGTGTTCTCACCTGCAGAACCCCCCCCATAAAACTGCTGGTTAGTTAGCCCAGTTTCTGTCAGGGATCCTTTTACCATTTCTAAAGGAAGTTATTATTGGGACTGATCCAAAAGATCATGAAGAGGCTGCACTTCATCCAATTTAGATTAGACTGATGGGACTACCAGGAGCGCCAACCGCTCTGACATCAGGATGAGGCAGGTGCAGCAGTGGAGGTGAATAAATAGCCGATCCTATTGTAGGAACGCAGCTGCTTAAGAAATATTTTGTTCACAATATTCTGTACTGAAATTTAAAAATGTCACACAAGCAGAAGTTTATAATGAGAATCAGTTGGAGTATCTATGGAAAGCCAAAAGGGCCATATATAAACGCTCCTATTACTTCAAAGATTGATTGATTGAGTCATTGTACGAAAACGTCAGGGATTCGGCTGATGTGCTGATGAAAAGGCAGATGGTTTGTTGAACCACAATAACATCAAGCTGGTAGCTACGTTACAAGGACACAATCGGATTACAGGCCTGATCAGATCATAAATGTTTAACGGAAAAATGTCAGACTGAAAATTTTGATCCGATAGGAAAGAAATTGAATGCCGAAAGAGAGAGGTGGTCTTTCTTCTTGTGAAATAATCTCCACTTATCATGTGTGCAATGCCAGCATGACATTTTTCTCTTTACTCCTAACCTTCATTCACCGGCTCCTGGTCCTTGGTGGAGGAGGTGGCACTAAATGTAATGAGCGGATGAACTTGCCATCCTTAGGTACTGCTGGGCCCTTAACTAATGATCACCAAAAACAAAAGTATGGATACAAAGATGATATGAAGGTTCATAAAGGAAAAACATCAAAAGACTGAATAACTGAAGAAGAAGAAGAAATGAGGGGGAGAAACAAAGCTGGAGTTGAAGAAGAGAGGACAGGTAAGGGCTGGCTAATAAAACAGGCAGCTTCTTCTTCTACAACTACAGCATTTCTGGAAAACTAGACAGTTTCGCGCATCCTTAAAGGATTTAATCTGATGAACATCTGGTATATGTATACACACGTCATGTATCTTTTTATTTAGTGTCACAGAGATTTTAAATTTCCGATCAACCAAGGTTTAGATTGGATCAGATGTTTCGCATGTTAACATAGCTGTTGGGTCTTGAGGCTTGGAGTTTTGCAGTCTCAGCTTAGATTAAACATAATCTATGCTCTCAGTCAGAGTCCAGTTCTTCATTTAATCTGATGATGTTGAGACACTTTCCAAAAAGAATATGATAAGACTTCAAGCTATGATGCAATGAGGAAGAGGGAAATATTTTGTTTCCAAGGTGTATAAATCTAGAAGAGTCATACCCTAAAGCATTTGGTTAGACATCATTTTGATTTAGGGTGCCTGAACACAAATGCCAAAGTTTTTGGTGGTAAAACTTTCAAAAGGCATGTTTTTTCTTCCCTATACCACTATTTTGTGTTTACCTACCACATTCAAAAGGATTGTTTTGCATTGTAGCTGTTACATTTCAAAGTTTAAGGGGCTTAAGAACTTTACAACGCACTATGAGTAGCAGCAACCTCAAAACCTCTGCTGATGTCTCACCGCACCTTCAGCCACATCTGCAACTAGAGAAGCTTGTTCACTATTGGCTCCCAAACTCCACCACTCACAGGTGCTGTTAGTCATAGCTTCTCTTTTTCCCAGCATTCAGAGAAACTAACACGTGCTGAAGCAGGTAGGGAACGTTCAGTTTGGAAGAACCTCAAAATGTGCAAGCTCAGGTCTATGGAAGTCATTAGCTAAAAAACAGTGGAGGCCTTTGTTAGTCAAGCTAAACAACAGGGAGGGGGGGACAGCCACTAACAAACAAAACAGCGTAGTGATGATATTTAGATGCTGAAGCTTTAATTGCTTTCAGTCAACAATCAAAAAGTGATCTATAATAGAAAGCAGAAAGAAAGCAGCCATTTTTACTGGCTTTTTTAAAGGTTTTGTCTTCTACAAGGTGCATTACAGCTCATAAATTGAACTGTATGTCTGAATAAGTCAAAAGCAGGTGGGTTTAGGTTCTTAAATGCGTGGGCGGTTGTTCTACCCAGCTGGTGTCTTACCAAAGTAGTCCGATTTTGGTTGTGCATCCATTTCTTTCTCCAGCTGCTTGGTGAGCGCCTCTAATTTGATTTCAGCAGCAGTTGGTCCCTGTTCCAGTGGAAGCGAGGTCTGAGGAGATGCTATCTGGATCGCCTTAGGGGACGATGGACCAACAGGACCATCACTGGTAACTGGTACCCCGGCGGAGGTTTGGCTCCAACTTGGAGCCTGACTTTTCGGAGGTGAAGAGGTCAGCCGGGCTTTAGGCTGGGCTGTTTCAGGGAGAAATGAAGCGGCTGCAGGATCATCGTGGTTGGAGGAGGTCAAGTAATGATGGAGGTCAGCTTCACCTGTGAAGCTGCTCAGAGGTGAGGTAGGGGGGGCATCTGATCCTGCAGTCCAAGCCCTGTCTGACCCAGCAAAGCACAGAGGGCTCTGATGGGCTGCTGGTGATGGACTGACAGCTGGAGATGCCTGCAGGCGCTGATGGGAGGCGGGGGTCCCTGAGGGAAGCTGGCTCTCTCTGGAGGGGGCCGCAGGGTGCAAAGCATTAGGTGTACTTTCACAAGTTGCTATAGAAGAGTTATGCTGAATGGAGGACGGTGGCTCTAAGCGGTCCTTGTTGTCAGAATTACTTCCGTAGCTATAAACCCTGCTGGCCGGTGGTTCTGGATGGATGTACTGGTTCCCAGGAACCGGTCCGGACAGGATCGGGGGCTTCGCCGCCGTCTCTCCCGGCTGCCTGGAGCTGTTGATCGGCGGTCTGTCCTTGGTGTAGTGAGCGCTGCTGTGGTGGCCACCGTTCATTTTAACGACCTGGCTGCTTTTTGCCATCTCCTCTTGCTGCTTCTGCATGTGTATTTTAGTCATTTTGGAGGCAAAGACCCTCCGAGTCTCTTCAAAGTCCGGGTTGTTTCCCGCATCCCTCCTCATTCGAAACAAACCGTCTCTGGATGCTTCATACATGTTTAAATCTTCGATAAACTTACTCGCTTCGAGCCCCAAATCCTCGTATTTATCCATTTTTAAAACAAAAAAAACGGAAACGTTTCCTTCGATAGAGTTTGGAGAAGTTAAATTTGATTCACTGAGATTAAACAGCTCTTTATAAAAGAAAAACAAAGTAAATAATAGCACAAGTATTTTAGATGAATCCAAACTTCTCCGCAGTGAATGAAGTTTTCCGCGCTGGATCCGTCAGTTGAGCCTAAAGAAGCCGCCGTCTGTCTGAGCGAGGAGGCGAACTGATCCAGGATCAGATCCTCCGGCTGGACAGGACGACCCCCTCCCTCCCTCCTCCGGTTTCACCGTCCCACAGAGAACCCTTCATCTACAACTCTCCTCTGCGCTTCGAACAACTCAAAGATAAAACAATAAAAGTTTACCAAAAACTAATAATACTTGGCTAATTTCGGGGAAGGGGGGTTGGTTGACGGGTAGAACTTGTTTCCCGAACTGAACCGAACCATACGTGGCCACCGGTAGGCAGTTAGGACCCAAAGCCCACAGCTGACTAATTAAAGGCACAGCAGCACCGTTTAAAATACCGATTCCCTTTTCTTTAGCATAATTAACAGTTCAGAAGGATGAAATCATCGCTATAAAAATGTTTTTTTTAAGTTCCCCAACGCCGATATCTTGAAAAAAAAATGTTTTATGAATGAAGCCCCTTTTACTTTGTTACCCATAAAGAAAGTTCACGTCATTTATGACATATGTGCCTAGAAGTCCCTTGATCTGATCTAATTAAGTACACAAATTAAAGATACTGTTGAAAGAAAGCCGTGAGAATGTCAGGATAAATATTGTCACTTGTCATGAATGGTAAGAGCCAATATATAAACTCGCTATTCTCTGGTGATGGAGGCGTCATGCTTTTGGGATATATTCCTTTAGCAATGAGAGAGTGGATAAAGTTCATATGAAGATGGGTACAGCTAAAAACAAGACAAAAAGGACAAGTAAAAAAAAATGCAAAAGGCTTCAAAAACTCATGACTTTTCTAGCCAAAGCTACAGTGATGTGATTTAGATCAGGCATCCCCAACCTGGGTCTCCAAGGCCCACTGTCCTGCATGTTTTAGAGGTTTCCTTGCTCCAGCACAGCTGATTTTAATTGAAAGCTGATTAACAGGCTTTTGCTCTACTGCATTCATTATAATCAGCTGTGCTAAAGCAGGGAAACCTCTAAAACCTGCAGGACAGCGGCCCTCGAGGACCGAGGTTGGGGATGCCTGATTTAGATTATAGTAGATTTATGTGGTAGAATGGCCTAGTTAAAGTTCAGAGGTGAGAATACCCAGCAATTTATGGCTATGATAATAAATAAATGGCTGGGTTAATGCTATGATTATTTGCCTATGTATTTTAATTGGTGCTACTTTGTATTTTATGCTTCATATTTTAGAGCACTTTGGGACACTTCTCTCAGAAAGGTGCCATATACATAAACGTTACTTACTTACATAAATTAACTTTTAGGATCTTTGTTTGTACAAATTATGACAAGTCATTATGTTTTTTTTTACTCTACAATGCTGAACTTCAAGCAAATTGAATAGTTTTGCAAGCCAGTGTATTTTTTTTTTGACATAATGTTAGCTGTTAAGTCATGTTAGCTGTTAACCCCGCCTCTCGCTCATTGACTGCTGGAGATAGGCACCAGCACCCCTCGCGACTCCACTCAGGACAAGCGTGTCAGATGATGGATGGATGCAAATTGGAGACAACATGAAAGACAGAAGGTGAAAAAACCCATAGAGAGTTTTTACATAAAAGTCCATAAAAGATGTCAAAGTAACAACACTACTCAGAATAACTAGCAACAAAACATGACTAACTCAAACCAACTACTCAGGCAGGGTAGTTCATCACAGGACAACAAAGAGACCTACAGCCATGCACATAAACACACCTAAGGACAATTTAGAGAAGCCGATTAAACTAGCTGTCCATAGCTGTATATTGATTATTTATTCTCCAGGTGCACAGTTTTTTATACTGTTAAAACACTTTACATTATGGTATTTTATTGTTTATCTTTTATCTGGAAGTTGTTATTCTTATACATTTTTAAGCTCAACATTTCTGAGACCATTTTCTCTATAATCTTTCTGCTGCTGTAAACACCAGAATTTCCCCATTGTGGGACAATACATGGATTTTCTATTCTATTCTATTCTATTCTATTCACTAATGGAAGCTGAAGTGGACCTCTCTGATGATCTAACTCTTTTAAAGAACATCACTGGGATTCTGAGATGGACCAAACAGGGACGTCAACATTTAATGAAATAAGACAAATAAAATTTGACCCTAAACTGAACAATAGACCATAGTTAGAGTTTGGTTGGCTAGATGGGAACAGTTAAATAAAATAAATCAGTTTAAAAAAAGTAATTGAACAAACAAGAGTGGCTAAATGAATAATCTATCTTAGCTACAGTGGTTTTGAAAGGTGCACAAACCTTTATGAGTCCAGCTTTTATAAAGCTAAAGATAAATGAGGATGAAACATCCTTTTCAAACTTTTATCAAATACACCATAACATGCATCTTGTGCAATTTCATTAATACATTTCTTAGATGGAGAAAATACACTAACCTGGTTGGATACCATTAAATACATTTTTTATTGGATAATCTCTTTCAGTTTTCTTTGCTGTTAAGTTCACACATTCCACCAATTATAGTTCAGACTGAGTTTAGCCACACAGAACTCAAGCTACGGGTTTGCTTAGCAGATTGGCTAAGATAATTTAAAACTGTTGTCATTGTTTAAAGGTAAAATGTTAAACAAAACATCAGTGTGGATATTTTTAGACAATTTGAGGGATACATGTCTTTAGGATTTTACTTTAAGTTTAATTTAGGCAGATTTAGCTTTATCCTCGTCAAGATAAAAAAAAATGAAAAAGATGGCTACAATTTGTTTAGATGGTGATATGACAAAAGGAACATCCGCAGAGAATCAAACAATCCTTCTTGGGGTCAGCTTTCAGCTTAATGAGCTGCAGCATTACAGGGCCCTCCTGTGAGAATACATAGGCCACTCCAGGAACTAAACTGATGCAGTGGAGGGTGACTGAAACTGTAATGCCACGGTGCCCCACCCTTTATTTTTTCTTCCTAAATTTCTCAAGAGGAAGGGACGTGATTTACTTTAACCCACCAAAGATAACTCATGCTGCACAAGGCTACGGCTGTGGTTTGAAGACAAAGTGAGTCACAGCTCAACACTTCCCTGTTCAAAGTTGTCATGGAAACTGCAGAGCTGACAAAAAATGTTAAATGGTATGGTGGAGACCAACGGTGACGAAATGAGGAAATGCATTGCTGCAGCTTAGACCTAATTTTTGTGAGATACTTCGAAGAAATATTATTTTCCAGCCTGACTCAGGGTCTGGGGTTTTCTGGCATCTAACTCCTCCCAAAAGTAAAAAAAAAAACATGGATGTTATATTTGATCAGCTGCTTAAGTAACCCAAAGTACATTGGAAGTTATTTTAAAGTGTGGACTTACTTTATTCTGCTCAATCATACAGAGGAGTTAAAAGAATATACAAGACTTCTATCCTTGGCCTTTTCTGTTTTCTGCTGCGACAACATCTGGCTGAGTTTAAATGTGCATATTCAACATAGAGAATAGCTTAAACAGGTTTGGCTCGAGTTCTCTTATTCCTGGCCTTTCTTCCTGTTATTCTGTCTGTCCTGAAAGCGTTTTCCTGTCACCTGACGGTCGGTGATAAATCACAGAAATATGGAAAGAGGCTAAAGGAATCAGCAAGGCACATTCTGGTTCTCTCTCTCTCTGCACAGTTTGTCTTATGCAAGTACAGTTTCCCTGTTAACCCAAATGACACAGTGGCTTATTTTGATCTGACACTATTGTTACAAAGCTGACATCAGAAAATTCTTATGTGGGTTGCAATTTTTTTCCACATACACCTACAGAAACATCTTGCGGACAGTGAAATGTTGTGAAGGACAAGCACTGGTTCATATCAGATGACTGCTTACTCACACAGGCTCTAAAAAGATAGGCCAGTGGGTGGGAACAGATAGATTTCACTGCCTCCGGCTTGTGGGCTCTTTGAGTGCAGTGCTAATGGCTAAGTGAAGGAGGCCCACTGCCACAGAGCTAATGAACAGGCGTCGCTGGTTATGTGGCACCGAGCATCAATGGCTAATCAAGATGTTCACATCCAGATTCCCACAAACCGCATTAGATAAATAGCACTAAAGCTTTGATGGCGGCAGGGTTCATCAAGCTGAACATAGCAGGGCTTCTTAAAACCCTAAAAGGCAGTTTACATACAGTCTCATCCAAGTAGTGCACCAGTACAAAGTTAAGGAAAAGTAATACATTACATTATAATACCGCAAATTAAAAGAAAATAAGTGAGCCTTCATTTATAGTCTGCCTTCGTTTCTTTGATACCCATAATCAAATTTAGTTACAGGGAATCAGTAAACAGAAGCCACTTGTTTGTAATTTCATCAGCAAGATCCAACTGTTAGTTTGCTGGAGTATATTTCTTTAACAAAATTAAGAATGAAGACACAAAGGAAAAGTTAAGAAAAAAAAGAGTTCAAATTGCACAATACACCAGGCCTTCTACCATCCAACATCTAAGATTATGGCACAGCAGAGAACCCACCAAAAATGACAGGATGGGCATGGTAAGCATTAATCTGGGAAGCACAAAAAGACCCATGGTAATTCTGAAGGAGCTAGAGATCCTGGGATCAAGCCTTTTAACAGATTGCTGGAAATCCAATAGGGTTCATACCAAACATGGAGGAAAGTGGTTAAAGCAGTATAATATAGGAAGGACGCCTTTTAGAGGCTACAGAGTGATTTAGAGGGTTCTAAACCCAAAACACCCAGAGCTATGATGGAAATATTTACATTAAATGGTCCAATCAAAGTACAGACCTAAACCCAGTGTAAAAACTAAAGCCAGGTCTGACTAAACTTGAGCTGTTTTACGAAGAAACAAGGGCAAACATGTCAGTCTCTAGATATGCAAAGCTGGTGTTCACAGAAAACTGAAAGACTTGACACTTAGTTAAACTTAAAATATATATTATTTCTATAGTGTTGGAGTTGGCCTGTAATTTAAAGTGAAACCCACACACTCTTGATTAATTAGCAGAAAAGCTGGACTAAGTGCAGCTAGGAAGAGTAAATCTCAAGTACATCAAACATTGTTTCTGTAAAGAGCAAAGTAACAAACCTTTAAAAGGGCCACTCTGTGGTGCCCAGTAAGGGTTTTATTGCAAGGTCCAAATAAACACTGATAAACGTTTAAGCTGCAGGATTTGGCTGAACAGCAGACCAGACAGGGACTCATGAAGTGGTGGTGCTGAAGAGGTTTTACAGGAGAGATAAGAGAGTGGAGGAGGTGTTGGCATGATACTTGGGTTCATGACTGATCAACAGGCTGAGAAAAAAAGCAGAAACTTA